GGGGGGGGGGGGGGGGGGGGAGTTGAGATCGTTGAAGACCTTTCCAGACATTTTTCGTGGCGGTAAGCCATGTCTAGCGTAACGAAGTTTTCTTTTTCCATCGGAATTTAAGCCGTGATGGAATCGCGTCTTCCCAGATACGACGACGCCTTATATCCCGTCGACTACATGGAGATTCTGCGGGATCTGACCGGTGACATGGAGGAGTCCCAGGACTTGGATGTCAACGCGAACAACCTCCCTAACGGAATCAACATCACCGGAGCGAGAGGATGATATTCAGCCGGGAAGGGCGAGGGGCGCTCGGGTCGGTCGTCCCGGTCCTGTCAGCGGCGAGTCATCCGTCTCCGATGCGAGTTTTTCGTTGCATGTATTGTGACTTTGAAAGGATGGACTGATCGGAGCACCTGACCGTTTGATTGCTTAGTGTACCCGAGTGATTCTCGTACCTGATCCATTTCGATTCGTGCATTGACCCGTGTCAGGTGCACCGGACCTCCGTCGCGGCATTTCTTACTGTATACGGTGATGTGTATTGATCAGGTTGATCCGGCTGGCACCTGACCATTCCCCAGAAGATTCTATGGAATCGTTGCTTTGTCATTTATATTTGACGGTTTTTTTCACAGTGTGTTTTCCTCTTTTTTTGTGGAAGTTTGGGGCTTCTTTCTAACGGCGATACATTCAGCACTAAGGGCACATTAATTCCTCGCATTCAGCTTGCTTCCACGGAAATAATACTTCAGCGCTGGCTACAGAGATACACGAGCTATTTTCATTTGGAAGTCTTGTTTCATTAATAAAAAAAAGGACAGGTTCTTCAACTCGGCCAAAGGACGACAGCGGAGACGCGAAAAGAGCGGAATTTAAATTCCCTGGGTTGAATTTAAATGGCAAAATTTAAAATCCACAATTCTGTTGCTGGAACCCTTTAATCTCACCGGATTAAAGTAATTGAACGAAAGTAATTTTGTTTTCTAGGGCAATCCGCTCGCGTGCGATCGAGAGCCAGGCCCGACGTTAGACTTCATTGAGGACGCCTCGAGTTTAAAAATGTTCTTGGCCTCCCGACTCGGCTTTACCAAACCCTGCTTAACGGTTTCCGATCGCTTAACGTCTTCGGTACGACTTCAGCGGTAAGATCTTTTCCTCTCGTCTCCAAGCTTTCCTAATTGGACTTGAAGCTTGCGGATAAATCTTCAACAGTTAAAACTATCCCCAGAGTTGACTTATCTTAGATTCTTTTTAAATTAAATTCCAGACTTGCAGACTTTGCTGTTTGCAGGGAATGCGCGGGAGGGACGATTTACCTCCGGGTTTGAATGTGACCTTGTCATATATATTTAATTGCTTGCACACTTGTTTTTTTTTATCACCTTCATCAATGTGCATGGAAGTAACATGCCATATTTTTAATTTGAGTGCTTTCTCAATTTCACCCTCAATCCCTTGTCTTGATTGCCTTCTCTTGATTACCTTCTCTTGATTACCTTCTCTTGATTACCTTCTCTTGATTACCTTCTCTTGATTACCTTCTCTTGATTACCTTCTCTTGATTACCTTCTCTTGATTACC